ACGGCTGCTGCGGCTGCTGCAATCCTCGTGCGCACTGCAAACGAGATGTGCAAGTGGGAGATGGCAGCGCCGGCTGAGCTGGCCGCTGTTCCGCTAGAGAACCTCCCGCTGCGGCGATGGCGGCACCAGCGGCGGCGCCCGCAGCCAAAGCCTGCTCTTCTGCGCTCCTGCAAGACAGGAAACGTTGTGGGCTGACATCGAACAAGGCACAAAAAACGGGTCCCGGAAAATGTGTGGACGGCATCGGCGGCAGCCGCGCCAGCAGCTGTCGCCTACACTTTGAAAGACACTTTACAAACACCCGTCGTACCTTAGACCTTGCAGGCAAAAACCAAGAAGCGATCGATGGAAGGCCTGTTCGCTGGCCGTCGCCCCAGCTTCCGCTGCCTCGCTTGCAGCAGCCACCCCGGCAGCTTTGCCTGCAAATCCTGCTTGATCCTGCACAGACAAAGAAGCCTGACAAGCCACAAGCCATGGCAAATGATCTGCAGGACTCTGCGCTCCTGAAGCGTCAAGTTGTAGAAAGCTCCAACCCCACCAGCTGCGCGACCAGCCGCATCTGCTTCCGCAGTGGCATTCATCCCGGCACTTCTCGCCGCTGCAGAGGCACCCAGTCCAGCCATGGCGGCCTCCAAGGGCAAAGTCGAACTTTGAAGATACGCCAAAATTCAAAAGCGCCCAAAAAGGGGTGCCGCCTGCTCCGGGATGGGGAGGTTGAGGTCGGCAGCGGCTGCCTCAGCTTGCAGCTACTTTGCAGCTGTTGCCGTTGTCCCAAACACTTCCTTGCAAACCGAGGAGCCCGAGCAGCTTCCCCAGCCAAGGCAGCTTGCTCTGCCGGCGACTTTCCCTCGCTGCGTGCTTGCTCTGCTGCAGCCTGCAGACAAAAGTCAAAAGCTTTGGATTCGATGTGCGCTTCTAGCGAGCGGGCTGAGCGCCAGTTTGAATGTACCGCCTGCGCAGCATCCAAGATTTGGACGCTCAGCGGAACGGTGGTGCTGGTACCTGCGCAGCTGTGAAGCTGAGAAGCCATCTGCAAGTCTTGCCATGTAAAGAGAGGCTGAAGCTCTTTGCGACCGAGCGTGCTGGAGGTGACGGAAACCGATGTCGTCGAAGTTGCGGTATGGGAGGTTGTGCTCGTGGAAGTGCTGGTGGAGGAAGTGCTGGTGGAGGAAGTGCTGGTGGAGGAAGTGCTGGAGGATGTCATGGTCGTGCTGGCGGTCTCAGTTTTGCTGGTGGAGGTAGCCGTCGATGTAGTGACTGTGACTGTGGTGGCTGTGGCGGTGGAGCTTGAGCTGGTCAGCGTGGTGACCGATGTCGTCGTTGAAAAAGTTCGGCTTGTGGTCGAGGATCGTGTGGTTGAGGATGTTGTACTGACCGTGATGGATGTGATGGAGGACGTCGTCAAAGTCAATGAGGTGCTGGTTGAGGTGAATGAGGTAGTTGTAACAGAGGTCTCTGTGACACCAGTCGTCCTGACATCTTTCGGATGACTAGCTTCTAAAATGCCGCTTTTCTCTTCAAAGACGACAGGAGAATTTCATGCACTTGCTGGCATGGATCGAAGAACTTGTTGCTGTTGTTGCTGTGGTTGAGACCTCGGTGAGCGAAGGTCTGACAAACACCTCGTTGCCGTTGCATCTTTCAGGCCCATGCCGTGGTGGTGGTTGATTGGCCCAGATCTCCGAAGGTAATTGATGTTCCGCCTGAAGATGCAATGTTGCCTGACAGGTGCAGCACGACTGCCAAGAGCTCAAGCTGGACACCGGCTTCCCACCAGATTGGAGAGACTCTCCATACGTGTTGACAGCATAGATTACCACCTGAGTCTCCGTCATCGCAGAATGCAGGTTCGGAGCGACCCTCTTGCTGTAAGCTTCCAACATGGTACCTGCTGCTCAGCTCGATGCCTGTCAACCAGAGCTCTCAGGAGCCATCAGAGGAGCTGCGGACACCAGCGCGCCTGTGCCAACCACCACTTCCGTCACGTCCCAAGTGACCGGGTCGCCGAAAGCTACCTTGTTCAGGCCGGCCTCCCAGGGCCACAAACGCACTGCGCCCCTGGCCTGTGGCCTCCGCGAATTGGGAGCAATGCTGTGTGCGCCCTCGGGTCAAGGCCACAGCTTAGACGCAAATAATTCAGGAGAATACGGCTTTTTTCGGCATCCAACCGCCGATGGTGTCGTCGGGCAAAAAAGGAGATGCAAGTCCCACTCTGCAGCATGTCTTAGTCCACCATTGGCCTGGCAGCCCTCACTTCCGTGCTTCCTTGCTTACTTGCTCCCTTGCCCACCCAGCCACCCACCCGCCAGTCTGCCTGCCTATCTAGCTGGTCACTCAAGCAACAATCAATCACTCACTTGCAATGCTAGCACAAGCTGCAGGGGCTGCCGCATAACATGATAATTCGATTTTGAGCCTGGTCCTCAGCAAGGTACACAGCATAGTGGGTGATGTGGCCAAGGTCGGTGGTTGCGGCCAGTGTCCACCTTCATGCGGTACACACTGGTAAGGCACAACGCAGGCCGCGCAATGCAAGCCTGGCCTTACGGTTCCTGAGGCGAAGTTGCCTGCAGGATCCTCCAGGACACTGCGAATCACAGAGGCTGCCTTGAAGAGCCACCGTCCTCATCTGTGAAGGTGACCGTGTCAAAGGATGGCTGGCCAGGAACGGCGCCGCTGTTGTCGTACCTCGTCTGTCATGCTTCTGCAAGCTGCAACCGAGATCCCGTGCCACAGATCCCTCGTGCTTAGCGACAGCGCACGCTCTCGACAAATTTCCGGCAAAGATAAAGGGGCGGATGCATACACTAATCACGAATCCCACGAAAGTGAGCAACTGAGCCCTCAGATTCCAGGGTTGCGGCAGCGGCAAGCTGGCCGCATCAATGTAGGTTGAGATAGTCCCACCCTGTCGGAGGCATCGCAGTTTGCAAGAGCTTTAACGAAATCCAGGGCAAACTCTGAGGATCGAACAATGCTTGGGTACACAAGCAGCCAGTTTGCAGGGAAGGCAGTGCCCGTCCTCAGGCATGACACCGTCGACGTTGCTAAGTGGATTGGGCGCAATTACACACCTCAGGCTCATGCGTTCTTGTGGCCGGGGCCGAGATTGTGTATGAGTTTGTGTTCGAGGGCACCACAGCAAGTTGTTGCTGATTGCCTGGGCTCAACTCCCAAAATCAGAAGACCGGCTCGATGCTCCGAAGCCCTTGGGCTTACCGTGCCTTGTTGTCTTCCGCACAACGCTTTGCCCAGATGCACCCCCCCCCCAGCCCATTCTCTTCGCCCAGACCGTCGCTCAACCTGCTCACTTCTCACTCCCCTCACTGCTCACCTGCTGAACCTGCTCACTTCTCACTCCCCTTACTGCTCACCCCTGCCCACCCCTGCTCACCCCGGCTCAATCCTGTTCAACCCTGCTCACCTCCTGCTCACCCTCCTGCTCACCTCCTGCTCAACCTGCTCACTCCTCACTCCCCTTACTGCTCACTCCTACTCACCCCTGCTCACCCCTTACTCACCCCTGCTCACCCCTGCTCAACCCTCTGTTCAACCCTGCTCACCTCCTGCTCACCCTGCTCATGCTCCTCGGTAACAGAACTCCCAGCGCGGAGGATGTGCGTCTGTGGGCTTCATGGGTAAAGGCCATCTCGCTGCAATGGTGAGGACACCTGCGATACCGGCTCCACCTCCCTGTCGGCGAAGCTTCTCGGCATGAGTGGAGCTGATTAGTGCCGGCCCAAAGCCCGCGAATGTCCAGATCTCTCGCTCAGCGTCGCCACCCCGCACACCCACTTGCAGCCAGCACACTACCTTGCTGGTCGCTGGACATGTAGATGTCATACCTGACATGCTGTGACAGAAGCGGAGAGAGCGCTTTTGGGTCACGTAGTCACTCGCTGTCTGGCTCAGGTTCGGGCGACGTCAGTAAACTGGGATCGGCGGGAGGGTCCCAGGCGATTGTGCCTTGCCACACGGCGACTCCATTCCCTTCCAATGGCCCGTCTGACAGCATCCGGCCTAGCAAAGTACCTGCGTTGGTGTCCGTGTCGGTGAAAGTGACCTCTCTTTAGTTACTTTAGTCTCATTCCCGGCATCCATAAAAGCCTGACCTCTTGAAGATGTAGACAGCTGTAGACGATGGTAATGTGGCACTCTCAGTGCTGTCGAGCACAGGCTGTCTAAGCTTCCGGCAGTAAGTCCGCTCATGGATGTAAGAGGCTTCGTGGAAGTTGAAGAATACGTTGTGGTGGAAGTTGTCTGAAGGCCCCCGAACTGGCCGAACTGCACGACCTCTCTCAGTCAGTTGCAAGATCGGCACAACTTACGACGCTGTTTGAAGCAGCTTGGGCAGCCACACTGCCAAAAGGTGCCTCGCGAAATGCCGCTTTTCTCTTAAGCACCTTGTGTGGATACCCGCAGCCGCACCTTTCCCACTGCGTTGGACGCGTAGACGATGACCGTGTCGTCCCCTTGATTCAACCTGAGCTGGCTGTGAATTCATCCGCGACGGTCGGATTGTTTTGTCTGAGCGCTCAACGGCTCTGCCGTGAAAATGTACGACTTGGCCGTTAGAGGAACACTAGCGATATACCTGCAGGGACAGCCCGTGAATCCATTGGGCTGAGCATCGGTGCCGCGGCCTCTGGCTGGAAGACAGGCTGGAACCCTGTCGCAAGGAGACGCATCGAAATCGTACAAAAGGTTCCGTCACAGTCATTGTGACTCTTGCAGCAATTGCTAGTAGTAGCAATCTAGACTCGAGACACCGGTTGCCAGTGTTGTTGCTGCCATGGGCCGTTGCCTGTGCCAAGTAGATGTCCCACTGGTCAATCAGGCTCCAATCCTTTCAATTTCTTCTCACATCACGATCCCAAAAGAATAGAAAAGAATACAAACATAAAGCAGAACTGTGTACAACAGCTTGACCGGGTCCTCCCCCACATTTGGATACTCCGGGCCGCTGGTGTTCCTGGGAGAGAGGAACAGATCTGGCCGTTTCTACGGCTTGAGAAAAGAGTTGGTTTCGATTCTCCTGTAGTCGTACTACTTATTGCTCTTTTTGCTTCCGTCTCACTGCCTTCCTTCGCTCACGCTACGCGTCTCGCCCGTGATGAGGTACCAACTAAAGCTGCTCAAAGACTTCTTGCAGTTCTTGACAATGGTATAGTACAAAGTTTTACCGTTGAGCCTTTTAACCCCTGGCTTGAGCACTGGTTGACGTCTTGCTGTTGTTGTTGTCGGGTGTTGTTCTTGGGGTGAATTGCTCCCTTGTTCCGAGTAGGTCTCGCCTTTGTGCACATACTCTTAGTACTGCTGCGCCCGGAAAGTCCGGTGGGACTGAATCACAAGCTCGTGTTCTGTTGGTTGCACCATAGTCGGATTTTTGGAGCCCCTGCACTGACTAGAGTTACAGGACCTGCCATCACCATCATCAACCATCCCAAACGAAATCAAAATGCTGCTATGGTTGCCAAGAACCCCAAACCCTGGACTGACTGATCTTAGACTGACTTAAGAACCCAAGCCCACATGGCCCCAAAATACCACTACCTGAGCTCTGCGCCAGTACAACTCTCCAGTCAGCGTGATGTTGATTTGGGCTTCTGGGGTCGTGTCCTGACAGGTTGTGGGGCATTGTGTGCACACTCGAAGCAATCTGCAAGGTTGCATCAAACACCCCGCCACGATCTGCAGCTCTTGAACGTAGATGCTATCTGCTACGTGGGTCGTCTGGTTGTCCTCGGTGCAGGGGCCCGTGGCAGTTCTGATTCAGCAAAAGGCACTGAGCGCCAGGCCCGGATGAGGGCATGGCCAGCGTAAATGGCCTCCTGCTGTATAGATCCCTTGACAATGTAGACCTGAACAGTCTGGCGCTCCGCAGCATTCCTGTGACGCGCTGGAGGCTACGGGGTGCGGCATACTCAGGAGCACACGATGAGCCAGGCTGCAGGATAGCTCGACGGATCACAGCATGCAAATCTCCTGCAAAGAAGGCACACACAACATTCAGCAGTTCTACCGCTACTGACCCCGCAAGTCTGACTCCTTGCTGTGTTATCCAGAATTTTGAACCGGGTCGTCCCGACCGGCACGGCCCTCGGAGCAACGGAATCCATCACGGTGTGCCTAGTTTTGTTTATTGAGCTGCATCTAAACCCGCAGAAAGTTGGCAAGAATTTACTTGACACGTAAGTGTCCTCTGCAAAGCACTCCTAACAGTACTAGCTACAGTCACTCTGGTTAGACCCGCTTGGAGAAACTTCCAGCCCCTGATGTCAAGCCAAGTTGCGTGGCAAAGCCAAGGTCTGGCTCGTAGACGATCTGCTCTCGCGAGGCCGCGACATCGAAAACCAGTCTTACGCCTGGGTGGAACAGCATAAACCCCGAAAGAGCGACCATTTCATGGAATTTCCTCTCCAACCCAGAAAAAGGATGAAAAAGGCTTAAAGCATGTCAGTCACCACGAGAACCTGCAGACATGTTGCTTCAAGGCGGGATCGCACCGATTATCACTGAGGAGGTTGTGTTATCTGTAGGCTGACTTGCAACCAGGCCAGCCCGAACATGTTGCTCGACAAGCTTGCCAGGGAGGGATGGGTTGAAACCAAGGCCTGTGGCCGTCGACGAGCTTAATTGCTTGCCGAACACGAACTGCAGAGCGCCGTGTCTCAAAGCGTTCTGTGAAGGCGACAGAATGAACTTGAATGCCAGGAGGGGTGGGGCGCAATTTCCACAGATTCCTTCGAGAACGAAATGACAGCTAAAGCAAAGCATCCCATCTTGCCAAGGCACGATACTCTGTGATACCTGACGTGTCTGCTGGCTCTTCCTGGCAATTCAGATTGCAAAACCAGCACATGAGTCACGTGCGACCAGAACATTTCAGGCCAAGTTTCCCAAGTCAGTACTCCGCCGATGAAAAAATATGTGTCAATGGTGTCGGTGAACTGCAAGTTACCGACACCCACGGTGAAAAGGGTCGTGGTCACGGTCACAGTTCCGGTTTCGGTCCTGAATCACAGGAAGCTCCCGGGTACAAACGAAGCCCAAAACATTCACAACACAGTTGCCAGACCTGAGCTACTATTACAACTACCCCAATCTGTGCGTAGCAACAGCTGGGTTCAAGAGACTGAACTAGCGCCAGCAAAATCCCAGCACTCTTGCACAGGGGACAGGTATGGATGGGTGTGCGTGCCGGCTCCGGTGTCTGTGGTCGGAAACTTCGCTCCTCATCTCGCCATGCCCGGACCAGGCTTTTAGGAGGGTGGGCAACAGAGGCTAACGATTAAAACCCAGTCCGGCGGCAAAGAAGCAGCCACAGCCTCGAGCTCCAGAACGGACGTCGCAAAAACAGTTTTCCAGAATCGACCTGCCTCGTGGGAATAAGAGCATCGAAAACCCAGGCTCGTTTCGAACCTTTTAAGGAAGTTAGAGACGCGATGAGTCAGCTCACCATCATGTGTTCAGATCCCACATCACATTGCGAAAGGGCCAACTGCATGCCGTTGATCTCCGGCAACATGATTAAGGAGCACAGGTGCACTGTCTCTTACAGGCGCGCCGGTTTCCTGCCCAAAGCCAAGCTTTGGGTCAAGGCCCGAACAACCGCAGCACACACAACCCAGCTCATGCACTATTGATTGACGCAACTTCTTCGACCTGTCATTCAGATGCGAAGGTCAAGCATGAAAGAAGGGCCGCGACGTGTTTGAACCAGAAAGCGTTCGATGTTTCCAAAGTTCGCAAGCCTCGGAGGTGTTCTTGCTGGGAAGGCAAGCGCTCCCTTTCACCAGCCTTAGCCCCTTCTTCGATCCCTGCATCGAGGGCCACGTCTCTCGTCATGCCCAAAAATCCTCCTTTGGTTGCGTTATCTCCTACCCCAAGGTTGGAAAGCGCATCATTTCCAACTCGGGGCTGTAAGCATCTCCACACCACCTCGCAGAAGCCTTTGCCAAACCAGGAATGTCCAGTTAAAAGCCACGATATCAGTCCGATCGCACATAGACATAGACACACAAAAGCCAGGTCACGTGGGGGATCGTCGGGGGTTGTTATACCGTATACCTATTCCGCAAAAGGGTTTCCCACGACAAGGGTAGCGAGAAGAAGCGTGAAAAACCGAAGCTCTGAACTCAAGCCCCACACCCGACAAACACCAAAACCTGAACCTTGAACCCTAAACCCACTGCGCCCTACACTGCCGAGAGATGCCGAGAGCGCTCTGACCATTTACATGGGCGCTCGAGGCTACGACTACGACCGAGGCCCGGCCGTGTGGGGCTTCTCACCGAGATGGCTACGGACGAAATGTGCCGGTTCACGGAAAAGAGCAAAGCCGTCCCGGGCCGTTTTTGATAGTCACGGTTCATTGCCAGGGACAAAAACGGGGCCGCCGTGGCCCGGTCCTGCTGAGTCCGAGTCCCTCTTTCCCGTGGGTCCCGCGCGCTGTGTGCCCAAGGCCCAAGGGCCCGCCCTCGCAACAGCGACATCGTCCGACGCCTCTTTCCCAGTCACTTCTGCTATTCTCTGCCACGAAAATGCGAAGCTGCCTGACAACGCCGATGAAGCAGACATGGCAGCTTGTACAGAGAGGAAAGATAGACAGATTCTCTTTCAACGGACCCACGGTCCACAATCGCAGACATCTCCGAACACAACACTTGCGAGTCACGCAAGCGACTAGCAAGTAGTACTCCTAAACCCATAGACAGGATGGTCAAATGAGGAAGAGCAGCTGTGATGTGGTGGAGGACGTCGTGGCAGTGAAGGTGGACGTTGTAGTTGCCGTACTGGTGGTCAGTGGGCTCTTGCCCTGATACTCCAAGCCTGCACACATCTTAGACACATGAGTCACATAAGGCCAACAAACTGCATCCTGTCCATGTCCGGCCTACCGAAGTCGGTGAGTCCCCGTAGTTGTTCCTGGACTTGACACCAAAATCAAGTCGGCCATGAGTTCTCGGGTTGACCACACCGCTACGCAGCAACTTTATTCGGTGCTGCCGCTCAGGGCACGGATTGTTCGTTGCTAGGCGCGCCCGATGCTTATTGCATCAAACTGCATAGAAAAGTCGAGTCGATCAGTTCAATTTTCACATCTCGTTCCGGTCTGATACTTCAGTCTTGTCCCTCTTGAAGCCTGCATAGTCTGACCATTTCTTCGATTTCTACTGACGGCTGCGTTCTGTGCAACCCTACGACTGTGCTTTTCAGCGTTTTCAGGTTACAGCTCTCAGTATCGCATTCATCACATGGCAACCGTGACTGCGTGTCGAATACTCTTGGATGTGCCTTTTCGTCTAAGTTGCTCTGCACCAGGTTCTCTATTCTGTGGCCTCGTCCCGAGAGCGTTATGAAGGTCTTCCTGGCTGTACAGCGATTGCATCAGGTTGGACATGCGCCATACTTGCGCAAGCACTGCAAGTTGTCAAAGGTTGATTAGATGTACAGGTACGAGATTCCTTGCCGGATGCACTTGCAGCCCAATAGCTGTTTGTACTGCAAGCTAGCAGGCTCTGCATTGGTTTCACACGGCTTGCGAGAACGAGAATACTTTACTCTCCCCTAAAAATCTTTCAGCTGGCTTAATGGATACTTCTCTTCCTTTGTCTTGCGCTCGTTTCAATACAAAAAGGAACGCTGTGGGGTTCCTTTCGCTGCCAGTGATGTGTAGGAGTGCTGTAAAGAGAGTCCGTCACCCGATCACCTTCGCCAAGCTTCGAAGCGTAAACCAACACGTGGTTGCGGTAACCTGTCCAATGCTCAGTGCTTGCACTGTGGCAGACTGTGCCACGGCCGATGCCGATCTGCGCCTATCATGGTGCTGGCCACCGATGCAGAAGAACTCTCGCGAGAGACCGTGTTGACCAGCAGCTGGTTCGTGCCGCTTAGATCCTGGAGCAGTGGTAAGCCCGGCTGGAAAAAGACTTCATGATCTCTTGCAAACCTGTTGTAAACATGAGGGCGAAGGACCGGCAAAGGCTGCAAGGGGAATTGCTGAGTTGCATCAACGATCCTGCCTCTGCCAAAAACACCTTGTAGTGAGACACCTCAGAGACACAGAGAGCTCATGAGACAGAGCTCGGGGGAAGGCTTCCGAAGGTGCCCTAAAACGAGCTCCCAAGCTCGGGGCCGATGCTTGATCTGCTGTCAAGCTGTCTTGGGTCCACGACACCGTGCCGTTGGCATACTCCCAACTCGGATCCTTCCCCCAAACCACCGATGCAACGATGCATGATGCATGATGATGCATGGACAGCATCTGCCACCCATGGTCAGTCCTCGTCAGGAAAGCTAAGTGCCTCATGCGAGAATATGAGATGCAGCGATGCACGTCATTCCAAAACTGCCAGTGTGACATGGCTTCCACGCAGCTTGCTGACATGCGTCTGTGATGAAAGGAGCAACAACAGGCGCTGCACCGCTGTCGTCGTAAAGGGCTGTTGCCTGGAGGGTTGCAGGCAGGCGATGCCAGCTCTGTTTGGGGTCACATGACTCAAAGTAAGATGGCAACGCAGCCGACTGCAGGGTTCTGGTAGGCCTGTGGTGGACATCACACATGTGGCAGGCCAAACACTTTCCACTTCCGCCATTTTGTGCTTCATGCACAAATGGATCGTACGCACATGCGGAGTCATGATGTTCAGCGATGGCTTGGCTTTACAAGCCAGTCAGAGACAGAGGTGTCAACATGCATCGGATGGAAAGCTTGCAGCTGTTGCTTATCGGAGTCGACACAGCTCTGGGTGTCGACTGCCGGCTTCAATGGGCAACAGCCGACAACACGAATGTCTAGCAGAGGTCCCATGGATGTTGGCCAGAGTGTAGCCCTGAGTTGCTGGCCCCCAAATCAGTTCGGTACCTCATAGCATGTCGACCACGAAGGCATCATGGGTTAATGGGGACGTCACTAGATGCTTGGCGCACCCCAGGACGACGATGAAGTTGGCCGGCGAAGCATCTGTCGTTTGCCTGATGAGCACGGGCCAAACCAAAGAGTCTTCCTTCCTTCCACTGCAAAGTACTGTATGAACAGTTGTGCTTCGCCCGGCCACATTAAGTTACTAGGGTAGCCTCTATACCCTTATGGCAAAGAAAGACAAGCCAAATCAGCAACATTTAATATGAACGCCATCACCCCAAGCCATGATCATGAGGCAAAACCGACATCACCACAACAGTAGCACAAAATAACACAACTGGCAAAACGAATGCATGGACTAAAGAATTGACTACAGCTCCTTGTCTTAAAGGAAACAAGCTGACGATACTGTTCATCAGACATCCAACATGTTGCGATCAAGGCTTCTAAGATTACCGGAAATGGTCCCCTCAAGCATTGTCTGTCCACCTCGTTTGATGCGGCCAGGGCCGGAATACTGCAGGGCTTCGTTGCAACAAACGTGCTCCACATGACAGTAAGTCATCAGACTGAAGCAGCACCCACTGCGATAGCGACATCTCCGGGTCATGCAATACAGGAGGCAGCCCCTAGCTCACGAAACTACACTTTGTGCTCCAAGAGATGTACTCTGAAGTAAAAGGCCTGACGACCCCCTCCCTCCCTCGCTCGCTCTCTCGCTCGCTCTTCTTCCACACAGACTAGAGCAGGCGGTCTCCCACCCACTCCGCGCGCGCACGTGCCCTGGCTCTCTTTCTTTCGGCAGGGTTGTGGGCAGGAAGGTTGCCCTCCCTGGCTCTCTCTTCTTCCCCAGGGCATGAGGGGTCTGTCAAACCCCCCGGCCAGTTGGCCCCCCAATTGTTATTGGGGCTTTCGGAGGGTGTGAGAAACGTTGCAGTACATTAAGTGTTTTGGGGTTTGCGGAACAACAACAAC